AGGATGAGTGTTTTCTTTTCTGGTCTACCTCCCTGGCCAGTAACACCTCACAGCAATTTTTTCATCCTTTATTATCTTCACTATTATTTCCCTCTTTATTCAACATGGATCCAAGACTCTGAAAAACAGATATTTCCATAAAGAGCTGGACAGTAAGTAACAAAGGGTAGTAAGTGGTACTTATATGGGGACAGCCTTAATGGTCATCATCTCATCAAGACCTTTATCAAGACAGCATCACTAAGTGTACATGAAAGCACAGATGAGCTTTTATAGGAAAGGAAATAGCTGACTTTAGAGCAGAAAACTCTGCTGTAAAGGAGTTTGGATTATTTGTTCAATTATTGGTTGGATTATTGGTCATAATCCAAAAAATAACCCATAATCCATAAATTTGTTGGATTATTGGTCATAATCCAACAAATAACCCATAAAGCCCAAAGGCCCAAAGAGCCAAAGAGAAATTTGCCAAATGGGAAATACAGGTGTCCATCCAGGTTTTGTAAAAAGCTTTAATGAAAAAAACAGCAGTTTACTTGCACAGTTAGTTTGAGGACACAGTTGTGCTAAGAGGAAGTGGGGGTTTGCATCCAGTCCTGCTCTTTCCTTTTCCCCTACATTCAAGAAAGTGAGAATTCTTCTCTGCATGCAAATCTGTGACTCGGGTACACCCTTTTAGGAATGGAAACTAAATCTTGGAAACAGAAAAGAAGGACCTAGAGACACTCAGGAAAGGAGATATGATCAAATGAAATGCAATAGAAAAAAAAAAAAAAAAAGAAAATTGGGATATATCTTGATTACAAAAAAAATTACTTGAAAAATGAGGGACAGGGAAAAGGACCAGACAGAACATGACAAAACTAACATCACAAACCTTGAAATATCAGGGGAAAAAAATCAAGAAGGAAGAGAGAACACTGAGGGGAAGATAGGAGTGATATGGCATATATACTGAAAAAAAAAATTTCAACAAAGTGAAATCCATCCAAAGGCATGGAATGCCAGCAAGTGCAGGGCTATGGATGAAACCAGGTCAAATTTGCCCCAGTGAAATCACAAGATTTCGTTTTGTTGCAAAAAAAAAAAAGAAAAAAAAAAAAGGAATTTGGGAAATGCAGTGAGCAGAAGAAAATTGTCTGGAAGTTAATGAGGTGCAGTGCAAGGGGGCAAAAGATGCCAAAACAAAGCTCAGAAATGCTGCAAAATCAGGGGAAAAATCAAGGAGGAACAGAGAACATACAGGGCAAGACAGATGTGAAATGACATGGAGAAAGGAAAAAAAAATTCAAAGGCCTCTGCCCAAGCCAAAGCCAGCAAAAGGCACGGCATGCCAGCAAGTGCAGGGCTATGGACCAAAGCTTGCCCCTTTGATCCCCTTTGATATTGCAAGATTTTGTTTCTTCTCCTGGAAGGTATCGGTGAGCAGGCTCAGCAGGGTGAACCCTTGTGCCTCACCAGAATGTAACAGGGAAAGGCAGATGAAAGGTAGGAGCACCTCCCCTCCGGAGAGAGTCTGAGAGAAGAGGGGGTTTTCAGTCTAGAGAAGGAAAGGCTCCAGGAAGATCTTAGAGCACCTTCCAGTTCCTAGAGATAGCTACCAGAAAGCTGGAGAGGGAATTTTTGCAGGGTTTGTAGTGATAAAGCAAAGGGGAATGTATCTTCAGACTGACAGATGGGAGGGTCAGATGAAACATTAAGCAGAAATTCTTCACTGTAAGGATGGTGATGCTCTGGAACAGGTTTCCCAGAGAAGCTGTGGATGTCTCATCCCTGAAGTGTTCAAGGCCAGGCTGGATGAGCCTTTGGGCACTTTGTTCTAGTGAAAGGCGCCCCTGCCCATGGTGGGGGTGTTGGAACAAGATATAATTCTATAATTCAATCAGATTTTAATAATGAATTTCAGTTTTTATGTTTGGAAAGAGGCTGGGGACAACCCTTTTCTCTGGGGGAGGCTTGGACCAGGTGGCTATCCAGTGTGCCCACCACAACTATTTGATTCTAGTGGTTTGTCACAGCACTTCAAATCCATTTTCCAAGACTGAGTAGCAGCAGCACGATTTATTTTGTGTAGAATGTGATGCACAAGCACCATCTAGAGGATATAAAGGAGATGATGATGACTGTAGCTGACTACAGCAACAGCAGACAGCTGTATTATAGGAGGAAAAAGTTTTAAGGTTCCCCATGACTCAAACACTGCTGCTGAAGTGGAATTAACCCCTAGGGTTAATAGTTATAACAATTATTCTGACTTTTGTTGCCTCTGGGATTTGCATATTTTTGCCTGGCTCTTCTTGCTTTCCTTTCCCTTTCCCTCTTTCTTGATGATAGCAAGAGGATGAGGGGGAATAAAGAAGAACCAATTAAACCAGAAAAATGCATCACCTGAATTTCAAAGAAGAGACTGAAAATTCCATGCAGTCAGGACTGTTCTGTATATGGGGAAATCTTTAGAAGAAAATAACTGCCAATTACCCATCAGTTTCAGATATGTTTCTGATATAGTGCATTAGAGAGAAAAAGGAGGACTTTCCTATTCTGCATTACTTGGCTGATGAGGATTAAATCTGCTTCACTGTACTGTAGACCCTGCAGCACAAAACCAGATCAGTTTCACTCTGAGAGTTTGTCTTTTCATATTCTAGATGTATGGGTTCCTACCCACCCTATTACTGTGAAAATGGAGTGACTATCAACAGGAGGACCATTGGGAGCTATGAAAGTTCCTAAATGTTTGTCTCTACAACTATTGTTTTAGAGCTTGCAATATTTTATCTGAATGTTTGGGGTGGGAAGGGCTGCTACAAGAAGCCTGGCAGTTTCCCTGTTGGGAAACACACCTAAAATTGGCTCTGATACTGCTTGGTTGTTCTGTAAAAGACATGAAATTGTTGGTGCCTGAGGAGGAGGAAGATGATATCCTGTGGAGGCAATGCCTGCACACTACATGTGAGCTCCACAACACGAGTTGGGCTGATCCAGAATGATGGTTCAGCGCTGGGAAGGAAGCTGGGAAGGATAGCTGGATTTTGCAGGATGACCCAGATCTTTCTGACACCTCACACTGAACTGGCTGGGGCTGGAGCCAGCTTGTGACATTGGGGAAAGCTCAGTACCTCTCCAGATCCCAGCCTCAGACAGGAAAGCAATTCCCTTCCTCATGAAACATCACTTCTGCTACTGCAAGCCTCTTCCCCTGGGAAACCACCCTCATCCTAATGAGGAGGGGACAGTTCCTGGGAAGGAGAACAGGAGCTCAGAAGGTGCATGGGCTCATTCCTCCCTTCCTGAGCTGTTAGCCATTTGTTCCCCAGTATCCATGTACAGAGAAAGGACAGAGGAGCAAGAGAGAGGAGGGATGATGCAAAGCAGAGCAGCTCTGAGTTACTCACAATTGCTGAGTGTGGGCACAGGGAAGGAGAAGCCCATCCTGCCTGAAACTCCATGCTGTGAATGGAGCCAGGAGCCAGAATGAGCTGCTGCAGCAACAGCTGAAACCACTCACTTGCAAAATGGGAGTTGGTGACTTCTTTGAAGAGCTGCAGGTGTGCAGGGAGATTAAGAAGAAATCAGATTTCTTTTTCCATCTGAAATTGTTTGGTTTTAGGGAGACAGAAGTGGGTAACTATTGGTGGAACTGCTGCTTTCACTTAAGAGCATTACATTGGTCTCACAGTCAAATGGAAATCACCTCTTTCTTTAAAGAAAAGGGGCATATTGTGTGACCATGTAGAAAATGAAGGAATTGGCTGGCGTAGCGCTCAAAAGAACTTCCTTCCCTCAAACTGTGAACTCCTATCCACATCTGCTGCTGGGCTGGAAGTGGAAGCAGTTGACTTACCTGGCTGCAGAGGACTTGGTGGGCAGGGGCTGTTCAGATGGCTGCTGGGACAGCCAACTTCCCAGATAACAAGAGAAATTCTGTATTACACCAATATATCCTTGTCCTGTCAATAAACCACATGGGACAGCATGGTTCCTATATGTTTGGGACCAGTCTAACAAGCCTGGCTGGCAAATATACACCTTACCTACATTGCCCAGGTACCTCTCCCCCTGCTTAATTGAATCCTTGCTGGTCCCGTTTCTTTCTGGCTGCGTTCCTTTCTGTTCATCTCATTTTGTGTTTGGCTCAGTCTCAACCCTCATTGCACCACAGAGACTCTAAGAAAACTCTGGTAGCTCTGACTGAGCAGAGAAAAGCAAAGCAATTATATGACAAATTTTCAACCCAGCTCAAACTTCTGCATCTGCTGGAAAATAGCTAGAGCAGAAGAGTTCACAAACCACAACTGAGTGAAAACCATTGCTTTGAACTGACTCTGGTTTCCTTAAATCCTGACTCTTGTGAAACCAGAGAAGTCTGACCTGTGGCAGCTGTACAGATTCGAGCCACTGCGTGGAGCCAAAGAAACACTTTTTGAGCAGCTCTCCGGCTCCCAGATCCCTCACGTTAGGATGCAACACAGCCCACTGCCAGTTAAACTCCCAGGTGGTGAGGGGAGGTGCTGCTGTCTCCTGGTCCAGGAGGTGGCCTTGCCTGTGAGATAACTCAGCAGTGCTTAACAAATCTAAACAGCTGAGCAAAACCATCCTCCAATGCCACTCTGTGTCCTGCTCGAGCTTCAGCTCAGCTGTGCTGGAGACCTTGGCTAAAAGCACACCCTCAGTTGTGTAATATTACTGATCTGCTTCCAGCTTTCCAGGTGTGATTGATTGCCCATGTGCTGCTAAAAATACCAATATTCCCTTTATAAAGAGAGCCTTTCTGACCCATAGGGGACAGGAAGCATCTTCAAAGCACAGCAAAGTTGGACTGTACCTTCCAGGTTTGGACAACTGGGTAGGATCAGGGCTGTCTTCTTGCATGGCCATGATCTACACAACGGGTGCTGCTCTGACCATTCATGTCTAACTTCAAAAAGATTTTGGGGGCCTTCTCTGCTACACTGGGTACTGAATGGGCAATGCTTAGCTCTTTTTCCTGTTTAATGGCAATGGCTTCCCATGAACTGTGCAAGTAGGACCTGTTCTGAGCTTAGGAAGAGGAATAATAAATGATGAAAGTGCAAAACTAGCAAGCAAACGGACAGTGGTACACAATGGTTTGGAGCACTATGTATCAGCAATGAAGGAAACCTTCCCATCACATCTCAGCAAATGGTACTGCCAGTAATTTTAGGTTCTTTAAGCATTTTTCAAGCAATAGTGTTCATTTTAGTCAGATAGGATGGCTCCAAACCACTGTTTCATGCATCCAGGACTTTGAAAACTCTGCAGAAAGAGGTACTCACGCTTCTAGGGCAGCTGGGCAGCCACTGTGGGCGGTGGGTGCAGTATGAAGGGCTCACAGCCTCTGTGTGCTGCCCAGGGAACACTGCCTGGCACCAGCACATCCTGAGTCAGACTTAAAATATGAAACAAATGGTTTGAATTCTCCCTCGGAGAGCTGCTGTTCTATGCAGGTGCCAGCAGTAGCGTTTCAGCCATTCTTGGCAGCAACTCGCTGCCAAAACAGAGACACTCTCTCCCCCCCCATCCTATGTGTGTGTGTGTGTGTTTTGGGGAAGCTTGGGGGACCTCGCTGTTTGTTGTTTGGGCTGTGCAGGGAGTGCAGGTGGGTCCACACCAGCAGTGGCAAGACGCGTGCTGTGGTGAGCACCAGCAAATCAAGCTGAAGGTGATGTCTGTTACCTGCAATGTTCACAGCTGTAACCAGGTGACTACACAGATACAGACGTACCTTAGTGGGATTTGAACTATATTAGGTTTTCCCTTCCTTTGTTTTTGGTTGTTTGGTTGGTTGTTGTTGGCTTTGGGGGGTCTTTTGTTGGGTGTTTTTTTTGTTTTGATTTTTTTCCCCCCTAAACTTAGAGAATTGATATGGGTAGTACTGGCTTTTAGACGGAAAATACCAACTTTTTTGAATTGTTGCGTACGCGTGGCAATAGCGGAGCCAGGGATGGCGCAGGTGTGAAGCTGATGAGGGGCCCAGTGAGGCAGAGATGCTCCTGCACGGGGCAGCGAGCTGGAGGGGCCGGGCGGGGGAAGCTGCTCCGACCGCGACTGCCGGACAGAGCCACTCGAGCCAAGCCGGGGGTGCGGCGGGGCTGAGCAGCGGCTGGCGCCGGGCGGAGGGGAGGGATGACAGGCGGGGTTGGCTGTGCCGAGCCGGGCTGTTCCGTGCCGGGCCGGGCTGTTCCGGGCCGGGCCGTTCCGGGCCGTTCTGTGCCGAGGATGGCGGAGGCAGCACGGCCGCGCTGTGCCCTGCCTGGGGCAGCGTTCCGGGGCGCTGCTCCAGGAGTGTCTGCAGGAGGAGCGGCTCTTCCAGGACCGCTCCTTCCCCGCCGGCCCCACCACCCTCGGCTGCCGGGAGCTGGGGCCCCGCTCGCACAAGACACAGGGCATCGTCTGGCGCACACCCACGGTAGGGCGGCGGGGGAAGGGGGGGATCCCCGGTAGCATCTTTCCACAGTATCGCCCGGCTTCCTCCTTCCCTCATCCCCTAAATTTGGGTGGATTGGATCGTGCGGGGGCGGCGGGTCGGGGCTCCCCTCCTGCAGAATCGCGCCCGTCTGGTGCAGCTGCGGATGCTCAGGGCGCCGGAGGCTCCGCTTTGCTCCGGGGACAGCCTGGCAGCGTGACTTGCTCTGCCTGGAAAACAAACAAGTCAGAAAAGGCATTTTCATCTCCGTCCAGAACTCTCCGTGTGGACAAATCGCTTTGGGTAGCGCTTGGGGCTGTCTATTCCGATAACTCTTTCCTCCAGCAGAGCCATGAGTTGACCACCGTGCGGTTTGTTCCCGAAGCAGCCCCGCCAGCCATGGCAGCCATGGGGTCAGGGGGACTCCGAGGTGCCTCCAGGCACTTCTGAAAGACCTCGGTGTAGTCAGTGGTGGGGAGGTAGTGGCAGAGGAGTGTGTGCACATGTGTTAAAATGCAGTGTACCTCCTGGCACGGCCTGTGAAGTGAGCTGGCTTTGGTCACCAGCTCCCGTTCTCACTGTGCTTGGTCTGTCAGGTGCCCGCACCCGCTCCTGCCCTGCTCCGTCTCTATGGTGTTCATCTGCTGTGGTCAATAGTTTGGTTAATTTGCTGTAAGTGTGGCCTTGTTCCCTGCCTCACCTGCGGCTACGCGTAATGCAAGGCCTGCTTTGTTCCCCGGAGCTGTGTCCCAACCCCCAGTTCACAGCCAGTGGAGCCACTCGCATGGACATCTGCCAAGGGGCCCTAGGTAAGGTGGGGGCAGAAAGCTGAATTTTCCATGCAGGTGCTGCCCCAGGGCACCATGGTTTATACACGGTTGTAACTCACTCTAATACCTCCTTTTGCATCCTACCACCTCCATTCATTTCAAATCAGACCTTTCTCACCTTTCCTTGGCATTTGCAGGTGGGGACTGTGTGTGTGGTTACTGAGCTTGGCCTTTCTGAACGCACCAAGCAGGGCTGGCACACACGGGTTTCCTGATGGCTTTTCTGATCATGGCCTGTTCCTTTCACATTCAAATCCATGTGTCTGAGAGCAGCTTGACTCATTTCTGCCTTTAACAGTCTGCTGGGAAGAGCACTTCTATGTGTAGCAGGACTTCTCTTTCTCCAGTAGGAGAGAGTTCTGCTGGGCAGGAGGAATCTCCTGAAACCTGGGGAGATGTTGTAGAGGGAAAAGAAGTTGTGTGGGGGATTCCCTGCTGGTCGCCAGCTCTCGAGGAGCACAAAACTGGGGTGTTTCAGGAGGGATGGGCGAGCCCGTGAGCCCTCTGCTTTTGCCAAGGCTTCTGCTCAGTTTGTGCAATGGCAACCCCTTGCTGGGGCTCTCCAGGGAAGATCTGGGAGCTGCAGGGAAGTGCCAGGGGACAGTGGGGAGCAAATGGCTCAGCCTGGCTGTGAGTGCACAGCTATCCCAGTCTGGAAGCCTCTCTCCTGCCTTGCCTGACAGAAGGGGTTTAGGTGGAGGATGTCTGCAGAGATATGAGGAGAGGTAAAGTGAAGTGAAAGCAGTAGGATCCTACTCCACAGCTGTAGTGAGTGAGAGGGGTTTGGATTAGACACAGAGTGTGGTTGAGGGAAACTCTCGTGTAGGAAACATGACTAATATGAGCTGTGCTGTCCTGCTGTACTTGGCAAAGGAACCAAATTCTGTTTGTTTGCTTTCAGATATTCACCACATTGCATCTTCTTAGTTTCTAGTCCCACTGCTGATATTTGTGGGTTCATGTCCAAAAATGTGACAGGCAGAGAAGCTTATATTTTGTGCCTGTGTTTTCATTCAGACGTTTTTTAGATTAGTGCTTTGACAACCAGATGCAATTTGTATAAGAAAATCCATGACAATAAAAATAGTTAGATTAGGAACTGTGTTCTCCTTGTGCCCCAATATCATTGGTGGTGTGGGTCATACTCTGTTGTGCCTTGGGTTGTTACCACATCACCAGCTTCCTTCCTGTGCTCTCTCCATCCAATACCACGTCTCACACCATGACTGTTTTGGCATGAAGCATCTCCCAGTGTTTAAACGGATGTGCCAGACATCTGTTATCTCTTTTTATCGTGAAACTTTCTGGTAAGAAGTACTTCAAATTAAAATTAAAGTAATGCCATTTCAACATCTGGCATTTCTGTAGTTTTCTAGCTGGTTTCTAGAGTCACTTAGTTGCTTTCTGGTTTTCCAGCTTTTCTCTGCAGATGCTGTGGCAGCAAGAGCATAGGAATGAAAGATTTGAAGCTTCATTTTCAAGTTGTAAAATTGTTGTTGCTAATACCAAACTCTGCTTTTAAATTGATGAAAGCATTGGCTGCCCTAGTGGTCTTTGGACCAGTCAGATGTTCTCATGGGGTTGTATGGTATCACCAGAGGATATGAAGTGACTCACAGCTGATATTTTTGTACCTCCTGACTACATCTGAATCAGAAGTTGTCAGTGTTCTTGTTTGTATCTCCTCTTTCACTGTCACTAAGTACTGCAATGACTCTTCTGTCTATCTTCTCATGAACTGGGCAGGATTTTGGTCTTGTGTGACAATTGTTGATTAAAAATTAGGTGCTTTTGATCTTATCTCTGTATAGCCACTACTGAGTTCCTAAGAGCCTGGATGGAATCTCTGCTCTTTCACACAGTGGGGCTGGCAGATGCACTGTAGAAATGCTTTTTTTTTTTTTATTTTTCTCCACTGCCTTATCTGACACCAGCATTTGTATTGATACATTTGCTTAAGCGTACATTTACTTTAACTTTGTATTTACTTTGAATGTTCATGTCCCATCCCATTTTAGGATGTTGTAGAGAATCATTGGAAGATGTCAGGTGCTTTTGGAAACCTGTATTTTTTATTATGCTGCTTCTTTTCTATAGGAAGCTTTTGTAGTGTCATTTATCCCCCAAGAGCCTTGATCAAAAAGCAACAGACCTGTGCCCATGGGGAGTTTCACTGCTGTTGCTGAGCCCTTCCAATCATCTGGGAGTACTGCAGGGAGAGATGGGGCATCCAGAGCACATGGACCCATCACATCTGCATGGCAGCTTCTGGGCAGGGAATGTGTAACCAAACAGCTCAGCTAATGAGCAGGGTTTCTTTTAGCTCAGTAGTCTTCGGCCAGGTGCATAAATTTGTTTAATTGCTTTGGACCTGGACTATAAGAAACTGTGATCCATATATGGCAAAGCTGATTATTAGTGCAGAAAATTTGCAGACAACAAATTCTGCCCCTTGGGATTTGGATTATCCTTTATTCTGGCCTTCTGAAGTTTTTGTTTTGGTCTGTTGTTTTTGGGTTTTTTTCTTAGCAGAAACTTTTGAAGGAGAGTATTTGGAGTTGGTTTTGCAGTATCAGATCTGCAGTCAGTGATGGTATTTGGCTCCAAATGGCAGCACATGGGATGTGGTGATTCATTACAGCTGAGGGGAGGTTCTGAAGCCAGAGAAGCCTGGTTCACCCTCAGCCACCTTTTTTTGGAGTGGATGTCACTATGGTATCACAACACTGGGGTGTAAACAGCACAGGATCTCCCATCTGCTGTTTGGATGCAGGTGTTTCCTCCTCACATAACAAATGTGTGAAAAAACAACAAATTAAATAGGTTGAATTTCAAAAATCATATACTTGGTTTTCTCATGCTGACAGCCATTCTACTGCCAGTGGGTTGCCACAGCTTCGTGTTTGTAACCAGAAAACGTTCTAGAGTACTGTGGTATTAATATATATACATTCAGTACCTGTCCATCTAAGACTATTTTAAAATAATGATGAGTCTGTGATTGGCAGAATGTACATTTTTTCCTTTTATCCCAAACTCTTAGATGAGCTGTGCAGTGACCAGAGGAGCTGCCTTTTCCTTACAGCCCTTCAGGCATTTGATGGGTGTGTTTTGTTTGCCTTTTCTTTCCAGAATGGCTAATTTTAAGCCCTTACGGCTATTTATGCCTGCCTTGCAATTACTTTATTTTTTTCCTAATGTTCTTGTTACAGCTGAAGATTAGGTAAATGCAGAGATGGGTATATGGAAATAACAAGTAAAACATTGAAAGCAGGAAAAAGTAAGCATGACAGGCCAAAAAATTGCACTTCTTGTTAATATGTGTTATAGATAAACTCACAGCCTGCGAATATTCCCTTTTCTGATAACCTTGTCCTGCCTACTGTTCATTTACAAAAATTATTTATGATAAATGTAGCCTTGCTAATACTCTATTCAGGCTCTAAGCCACCTGTCAGCCTCTCCTTGGGCTTTCCTTCCCTATCAAAGGAAAATCACTGTGAATAACCTTGCAGAAGCACCAATTCTGGACATTCAGGCTCAAACTTGCTTAGTGCTAAAATTCCAGGTATGATCATGAGATCTGTTCTCATCTGGAGTCTGAACTACCAGGTGTGCTTTTAGTGATGGCTGTTCACAAAGGCAGAGATTATATCCAGACATGGGCACTTTTAAGTGTGGAAACCAAAGGATGTCTTCCATATATGCTGCAGCTGCCTTTAAACCTCAAGACCTTGCCCAGAGTTGTCAGAGTTAAGATTTGTGTTTGACTCCAAATTCTTGTTAGAAACCGGTATAAAGTTCAACAACTTTAAACACTGATTTTACAATAGGCTGTAATTGCAGTCTGCCTTGATGAGACAGCTAGAAAGTAAAGGAAATTCTTTATAAATTCTGCTTGTGGACATGGAGGTCCTCTGGAGGGTGTTTCTCCTTGAATTTCCATGCTTCTTACCTCCAGGGGAAGCATGACTCAAAGATGTGTTGCAGCATTGAAGTGTATGTTCATCATCTGGAGGCCTGATCATCTTCTTGACCTTCTTGAGCTGCTGTGGCCATTTGAGTGGTTCATTTGTTCTTCCTGTGCTGCTCCCTGCCTGCCCAGTCCCTGCCCTGGGCATGGAATAGAAACACTAATATTTATTGGGAAGAATGGGGTGACAGCTGCCCTCTGAGCCAGACTCTTTCCTCCTGGCCCTGTCTTTCCCAGTAAACACCTTTGCAGTAGGTAGTGCTACCTCTGGATGCAGCTCCCAGGGAAAAGGGTCTCAGCTCCTTGAAGGAGGCTGTGAGAGGAGTCACCACTTTGCAGGGCAAAGTGGATGTGCTGGGACAGAGCAGGGAGGGGAATTTCATCATAGTCTGTCACAGGAGAATAGCAAGGTGACTTCCTTGTCTAAAACTTCTGCCATGCTGATTTTTCCATTGCAGTACAAGCAGCCAGAGGCAGGGCTGAATGGGAAGTTTTATGTTCAGTTCTTCCCCTCCAGGTTGTGAAACAGTATAAATACCTTAGGTTTTGAAATTATTCTACAATTTCACCTCTTCCACTTTCCTGAGGTGTGAGAAGATGTGTGGGACAGATGTATTTCTCAGAGCTGACCTGGGGGTCAGCTGTGCCAGGCGAGGCAGCCTGGAGGAGCTGCAGGTTGTCCGTGCTCCTGCTGGTGCTGTCTGAGCACTGATGGGTTTGGGCCTGAGGGTGGACCTCGAGGACTGCTTTAGGGTCCATTCACCCTGAGACTTTGTCCCATTTGGATCCCAGCTTCTCACCCATAAGCTTTTGAGCCTTTTCCCATGGGAGAGAGGTGGCTGTGTAGGAACTGCTGCTTTGCTGGCCTCCAGCTTGCTGACAGCTGTGGCAGGTTCACACACTGAAGCTGCAAGCCTGCAGGACTCTTGTGGAATTTCAAAAAAGCACAATATGGACTGCCCTCTGTACACAAAGCACGGGAATAGTGGATCTGGGGATGGTAACAAGGAGTTA